GCCTCTGATTTTAATTAAGAGGTCTCCTCTTTTTGTAACCTTTGCAAAGACGACCTTTGTGTGGCTAACGTCCGGATCAACCTCCTTACGAAGCTTACCCAAAACGTCGGCAAACGTCCGACCTTGAGCCACTCGGATGACCATTGTCGATCCCCTCGCTGTCTTTTGCTCCATTTTTTGACATTCTGGCTTCAGTTTATCCTCCGCACTCTTGTCCACATTCTTTGAAGGTGCTTCCTCCTTTTTCTTTTTCGTAGTTGCATCTTGAGTCCCCTCTGGACTTCCGGAACTACGTCTTCTCTTCGGCGCGTCTATGATTGCACGCCTTAACTGTCGTTTGTAGCGACGCTCTCGCCTCTTCTTTCTGTCCTCACGGTTACCTTCTGCCATGCCGATAGTACATCCGAGGTGCATATCCGCTTCGTCAGCTTCCGCGTGCTTCGTCTTTGCTTCTTCCAGCAGAACCTGAATAACTTTCAGTCCGTCCTTAACTGTCCTATTTACATTCTTCCTGATGTCACAAGAGTTACTAATCCTTGTGACCTCCAGTTGTATCTTTTCAAGACACAATGCTTCTTCCTTCCTTAATCGAAGGCTGTCCTCGCGATTCTCTCTAATCGCCTGGATGCGACATTTTAAATTATCTTTTCAACAAATTATCTTATGTAGCTCTGTGCATCTATTTTAAAGAAAAATAGGATTCATAATGATTTATTTAATCTTAATAACTAAAAAAAATTTCTTTAACTACTGAAATTAAGCCTCCCAATTCAATAACTCGATCTGCGCTCGGACGATCAGTATGAAGGTTGTCAAATGCTCCAAAATATGACAAAAATTAAAAGTTAAAATAAAAATTTTTTAAAAACACTATCTTATAGAGCATGAAAATACGCATCTTTTTTCTCTTGGGAATTTTTTTGTAAAGTAAATATTGTAGTCACTAGAGACAAAAAACAAGAAAATTTTCATTACTCAATTTCATTGATTTTTAAAACATAAATAGTCATAAGTTGGACAAATATTAACGGATTTTTACAAAAATTAGTATGCATGCGTATTATGGTCTGCTAAAGACGATAAGATGATAAAAATATTAAAAATGACACTTGGTTAAGTAATATTTAATTATAAATCAATGAGTGTCGGTAATGACAGTTTCCTTTTTTCGTCGACAAAAAGACTGCACGGAATTTTCGAATTGAACAAACTTCCAGTGAGAAATTTGTTCATTAGGAATCAAAGAAGTTTTTTGGAAAGTTTGGTGCAAATTGATGGAAAATTATCGAAAATATATTACAAAAGAAAAAGAAAAAAATTAGAAAAACATAGCCATTAGATCAGGTGTTTTTATGTAATATATTGTATTGTACAATATATGAAAACATCTGAAAGTCGTGACTAGAGAAATATTTTTCTAATGGCTATGTTTTTCTAATTTTTTTTCTTTTTCTTTTGTAATATATTTTCGATAATTTTCCATCAATTTGCACAAAACTTTCCAAAAAACTTCTTTGATTCCTAATGAACAAATTTCTCACTGGAAGTTTGTTCAATTCGAAAATTCCGTGCAGTCTTTTTGTCGACGAAAAAAGGAAACTGTCATTACCGACACTCATTGATTTATAATTAAATATTACTTAACCAAGTGTCATTTTTAATATTTTTATCATCTTATCGTCTTTAGCAGACCATAATATGCATGCATACCAATTTTTGTAAAAATCCGTTAATATTTGTCCAACTTATGACTATTTATGTTTTAAAAATCAATGAAATTGAGTAATGAAAATTTTCTTGTTTTTTGTCTCTAGTGACTACAATATTTACTTTACAAAAAAATTCCCAAGAGAAAAAAGATGTGTATTTTCATGCTCTATAAGATAGTGTTTTTAAAAATTTTTATTTTAACTTTTAATTTTTGTCATATTTTAAAGCCTTTGACAACCTTCATTCTGATCGTCCGAGCGCAGATCGAGTTATTGAAATGGGAGGCTCAATTACCCTAAACCGAAAACTGGGCGTCAGCCCCATATAAATTTTTCGCCGTCAACTTCATAAAGTTATCAAATACACAAAGACACTAGGGAGATTAATGTCACTCACAATAAATGAAGTTAAGTACAAAATGTACCGTCCAATAGCGATACACGTTCAATTTTTACAAATTTAAACGAGATATTAGAAAAAAAATCCATATTAAATATAGATGTCGCACACCTAGGATGCGCTTTAAAGGTTAAATTTTCAAAAACTGACATCATATTCGCAATCAACGCATCCGAAAACCCCCTGAGTAGAGAGTTTCAAGTGAATGAAATAAATTTTTACAAAACTGGTCCGCCATTTAAAAATTTGGAAAACTGACATCATATTCGTAATCGGCGACTCCAAAAACCCCCGAGTAGAGAGTTACAAGTGGATCTAATAAATTTTTACAAAACTGTTTCGCCATATTGGATCCACCATTTTGAATTTTTGAAAACTGACATTATATTCGTAATCAGAGACCACAAGAACCCCCGACTAACGTGGCTCAGCCGATTGCAGTGACTTGAAAAAGTTGGAGCACTATGTTTCATTTGTGAGTCTTTTTTTAATTATAGTCGCCATAATGGCTTCCGCCATTTTGAAATTTTGTGAAAAATTCATTAAAAATTTACTTCTTCAAAATTTCAGAAATGTAATTATCTGAAAATCACCTGATTTCTAGTAGGGACTGAGCCCTACACACTCCTAAAGAATAGAGAATTTTATTTACATTTTTAAGTAGTAGCAGGTCCACCCGAACGCCATCAGACAATCAAAATTTTTTAAAAATTTCATTAATAATTTATTTCTTCACAATATAAGAATTCTAATTATCTGAAAATCACCTGATTTCTAGTAGGGAGTAAGCCCTATACAATCTTGAATAATAGAGAATTTGTTATCAATTTTTTAGTAATAGCACCCTTGACGGAACGCCATCAGACAATCAACATTTTGAAAAAAAGTCATTAAAAATTTATTTCTTCAAAATTTAAGAATTCTCATTATCTGAAAATCACCTAAGTTCTAGAAGGGACTGAGTATTACACAGATTTAAAGAATAAAGAATTCTCTATCAATTTTTTAGTGGTAGCACCCTCGCCCGAACGCCATCAGACAATCAAAATTTTTGAACAAAATCATTAAAAATTCATTTCTTCAAAATTAAAGAATTCAAATTATTTGAAAATCACCTGATTTCTAGTAGGGACTGAGCCCTACACAGTTTAGAAGAATAGAAAATTTTAATTACATTTTTAAATAGTAGCAGGTCCACCCGAACGCCATCAGACAATCAGAATTTTTAGAAAAATTCATTGAAAATTTATTTCTTCAAAATTTAAGAATTCAAATTATCTAAAAATCACATGATTCCTAGTAGGGACTGAGCCCTTCACAGTCCTAAAGAATGGAGAATTTTATGTACATTTTTAAGTAGTAGCACCCTCGCCCGAACGCCATCAGACAATCAAAATTTTGGGGAAAATGCAATAAAAATTTATTTTTTCAAAATTAAAGAATTCTAATTGTCTAAAAATCACCTGATTTTTAGTAGGGACTGAGTCCTACACAGTCCTAAAGAATAGAGATATTTATTTACATTTTGAAGTAGTAGCAGGGGTACCCAAACGCCATCAGATAATCAAAATTTTAGGAAAAATTCATTAAAAATTTATTTCTTCTAAAATAAAGAATTCTTATCATCAAAAGAGCACCCACACTACCGTCCGTGAGAATCAGGACGCCCCTTTTTTCATGAGTGGAAAAATGCTTAAAACGTAGAAAATAAGAATGACAAATATTTTTCGTATTTTTTTCCTGAAAGCTAATGAAATTATAAAAAGACTGACACCTGATCAAAGAATTTTCGTTGACTATTCTGTCAGATACAGAAAAAATACTGGATTTTGCATGCTTTTCGTAATTTTTTAATTTCTCGAAAACTGATTAACTTTTTTAGCGTTCTTGGTCTTGTTTCAATCTCTATTCAATGTAGAGTCTAAATTAATTAATTGTATTGTGGTATAAGTATTTTTTCTGTATCTGACAGAATAGTCAACGAAAATTCTTCAATCAAGTGTCAGTCTTTTCATAATTCCATTAGCTTTCAGGAAAAAAATATGAAAAATTTTTGTCATTCTTATTTTCTACGTTTTAAGCATTTTTCCACTCATGAAAAAAGGGGCGTCCTGATACTCACGGACGGTAGTGTAAGTTCTAGTACGGAATGAGAATTACACAGATCTAAAGAATAGGAAATTTTCTACTAATTTTTTAGTAGTAGCACCCTCGCCCGAACGCCATCAGACAATCAAAATTTTTGAGACAAAATCATTAAAAATTCATTTCTTCAAAATTAAAGAATTCTAATTATCCAACAATCATCTGAGTTCTAGTAGGGTCTGAGCCCTACACAGTCCTAAAGAATGGAGAATTTTCTATCAATTTTGCTTCCTCATGAGGAAGCTTTGCATTGGTGACGATTTTCAATTTTTCAAAAGAAGGTTATATGGACTCATTTTCATCTAAAACATATGTATATTCAATTATGAGCAAATGTCCAGATGTATGTGTGTGTATGTGTGTGTCACAAAAATTGTGTACAAATTATCTCAGACAAATTTTGATGGATTGTCCTAAAATTTTGCAGGTTTATTGCAGTCATTAATACCTAAAATCTGACACAAGGATTTTCAAAAATATCTACAAAAATTTTTTTTATACAATTTTTTTAAAATTCAGAAAAATTTTTTTTGGTATTTTTTGAAATAATTTTTTTATTTGTTAATATTTTCATTAATTTTTCTCAAAATTACATTCCTGACAAGAAAACGAATCGATTGATGTATACAAAGTATATATTTTATCAAATTTTATCAAATTAATAAATATTTTTCTTTTTAAAAAAAAATTCAAATTTTGTATTTTTTTCATAATTTATTTAATATTAATATTTTGAAATGATTATTCTATCATAAAAAAGAAGCAATTGCCAAATGAAAGTGTAAATTTCACCAAATATTTATGTTAAGTATTTGAATTTAGCGCTCCTTTACACTCATTTGACTCCAACATTACCACTACTTGTGTATTACGCTTGCGCGAGAGCGGAACGCCGAGACTCGCTCTCTCTTCCGTAGACGCTTCCTTTGTGAACATCGTGTCTTAATAAAGTCTAATTAAAAACTATTAATATTGCTTTTTGGTCAACCCAGCCTAAACCAAATAAAACATCAAAAGGTTATGGGCCCAGCGCGCATTCACTGCGAGTGATCGGTTGCGGTTTTTAGTGAAAAATTAAGGATATAAAAGACTGACTTTTTCAACGAAAGTGTGCGACGTTATACGTGCAAGAGTGACGCTCAGTGTTTTCTTCCGAGAGTGATTATTTGAAGAAGCAGAATTTAAAAACAAAAACAATCTCTATTGTATTAATCGAAATGGATAAAATCGAGGATGTCGTACAGAAATGCAGAAAAGCGCTGGAATTGGAACCTGCTGGAAACGAGGATGTATTTATCGGAATGACCAAAGATTATCTCGAAGTAAGATTTGAGCCCGGGGGAAAGGTATCAATAAGTAAGTAAATTAATTGATCAATTATATTAAACGAAGAGTAACGACTGTCAAGAAAGTAAATAAAAGCGCAAATAAAAATTTACTTTAAAAGTTATATAACTATTTCACACGTGTATTTAATTTTACTAACGTCGATAAAGAAATACGCTAAGCAATCACGAGGAATCAGAGACGACAGTTTCGATACTAAATCAGAAAAGTTCACACGAATCCGTTCGTCTGGGTTGCTCCTGGTCAGATAGAGTTGTGTTCACTCTTGAAAATCAGAAGCAACTAGTCTCGCTCTTGAAGCACCCGGAAGTAACGAGTGTAACAAAGCGAACAGTTCCAGATTGATCTGACTTGTGTTCGGTCCGATCAATCTAGGAGCAGGTGAAAGCTAATTCTAATAATAAATTAAATGTTAATTAAAACTGAATTTTTATTAAAAGGCAAAAAACAACTGGAAGACGACTGGGAAGTTCTTAAGACTTTAATTGAACAAGCTTTCATGAAACCGAATCCAGACAGCGGCGACGTCAACAGTGCTAGCGAAAACTTACTCCACGAAAAAGACCTAGAAGGATGCCATAATACTGAAGATCAAAAAACGAATAATTCAACAGATAATGACGAAGAAATGTACGACAAATCAGAACCTGATCTTACTAGAAACGACCTCAAGGCTTTGAGCAGTGAAATTAACAGCGTTTCTGAAGGTAACATAAATTTATTTGTATGTACAGGTAAGTTCATATAAATGAAAATTGAGTAAAATTTTGTTTACACTTGATCTGATAATAACGAAAAGTTAACGAGTTAATAACAGTTGTTGTCGACAACACAAATTATATTTACGATAAATTTCTGTGGTAGGTGTGACACCGAAAACAGCAGGAGGTTCCGGAATTAACGAAGATCAAGTCAGGAACGATACGAAAAATCCGATTGAAACTGAAAGTAAACAACATGACAATGGCTGTGCAAAAATAAGTGGGAACAAACGACAATTAAATGACAACGACAGTACGAATTCTGGTCTTCTAGAAATAGAAGATAGATTAAACAAAAAATTTCAAAAGGTCGAAGATATGATGGATAAAACTTTATCCTTACATTTAAAAATGCAAGAAAATTTTAAGTTTTGGTTGAAGCAACGAGAACTGCAAGACGAAAAGGTAAACAAACCAAAAATAGAATCAATAATAACTATTCCTTCTAATCCGATAATTAAAGATAAAATTCCCTTAGTTAAAACAATTAATTCGATTAGAGAAAAAATACAAGAAAAACAAAATACGACTGAAAAAATAGACGAACTAGTTTTAAAATCAAATTCCGTAAAATCGGCTACGAGTACGGAAAATCAAATCAATAACACCGATAACATTGCAAACCAACTAAAACAAGCAATCAAAATAGAATTTATCGGGAAGGAAAGTATGATAAAACATGATTATAAATTGGAATCAAAAGTTAAATTTGAACACTTCTTTGAGTTTTTGACTTCAGAACTAAGAACAGTTGACTTACTTTATGTTATAAATAAAACAATAAAACCACCGGAAGGTTTAAATGAAAATTCACTAGAAAAGCATAAATTTAAAGTACGCGACATAATCTTAAATCGGGTAGAAAAAGTATATCAAACAAAAATATTACAAATTAAAGATCCAATCGAAGTTTTGAAAAAACTCAAAGAATTGAAACAAAGCGAAATTAACGTAACAAGTGTCATTGCTCGAAAACAACTGTATTCTTTGCAATACGAAATAAACCGTGAAACAGCAATACAATTTCTAGACCGTTTCGAAGACATAGTAAACGATTATGAGAGTATTTCTGGATCAAATCCACTATCCGAAGATGAAAAACGCGACGCATTGTATAATGCGATAATGGTACAAGTTCCAGAAATACAATCAGTCGAATTTATTACAAAGAACCAGACGGGAAAAAGTTTAACTTTTGATTCTCTAAAAATGTTTTTAATACAGGCAGAAGCAAATCGAACTTAAGCTGCTACAAACGATCATCCGACTTCAAAAGGGAACACTGTAGCTTCAGTCTCATTCGCCAACACCAATAGACAAAATAAGTGGATAAACGACAGATGCTACGAATGTGATGACAACGGCCACCTTAAAAACGAGTGTCCCCGAAAGGGACAAGGAGTGAAAAAGTGCTATGAATGCAACCAATTCACAACACACAAAGGATTCGAATGTCCACAACGATTGGCGAGACTAACAAAAGGACAAAATAAAGGTAAACGACAGTTTAATAAAAATAATAAATATGAAAATCAATTACAAGCAAGAAGCAAGCGTTCCTTCAAAGTTGTAAATAACCGCGGACATAAAAACCTTCAATTTAAACGAAACGATAATAACAAACCATATCATTTACGAAATAATAATTACCAGAATGTGAACAGATTTAAATTTACTAAAGACAACCAACAACCTCGACCAAGACAAACACAGACAGTAACGACAGACATCCCGAAAATCCACTTTGTCAACTCTCATCAAAAGGAAAGCACAGGTAAGCGTAAAGTATCTTTTATAATAGACTCAGGTGCAACAGAGCACCTCACAAATATTAAACAAATCTTAAACCCTTTTGAGAAAACGAAAACGAGTGTTATAAAGTGCGCAAACAAAGATAGCAAAGCTGATTTAACAGCAGACGGGATAGGGACAGTGACTTTAAAAACAAAAAGCAGAGAAATGGTAAATTTAAATAGAACAATTTACTCAAAATCACTGTCAGAAAATCTAATATCATTACGACATTTCGCCGAAGCAGGATTGTCAACCCATCTAGACAATAAAAGTGTTGAAATATACAATCCGAAAACGAAAGAGATTCTTATCTCAGGTACATACGAAAAACCTTATTGGAAAATAGAATCAACAATCACCACGAATAATAAAAACAATAACAATACCTTAACGAACGCAGTAGCTTTAGATACAGAAATTATTTCTGAAGAAATAAACGAAGACAAGGACGATAAAACGAAAGAGTTAACAGAGACGACAATAGAATCTAATAACAAAGAAAAATTAATTTTAACAAACGAAAATTCAGATTTAAACGAAAAAGTTGAAAACGAAAGCGCGATTAATAAATCAGATAAAATATCCGATATAGAAAATACTCAAAAATCGATAAACAATTACACATTTTCTGAATTCGATACATTACTTGCTACAAGAAAAATTACAAATATAGACGAACTACCGATGATTGATATATTCGATGATAATCCACTTTTAAGTAATACATGCAATAATTGTTCTAAGAACAATAAGGCTATGTTATGGCATGCTAGAATGGGACACGCGTCGTTATCATACCTAAAAAAATTACAAAATATTTGGCAAAATAATAAAGAATTGCAGTCTGTAAACTTTGACGACAGTATTTTAGATTGTGAAGTTTGTGCATTAACTAAATTAAAGAAATTACCATTTAAAAATAAACGAAACAGATCGACACGACCGTTACAATTAATACATTCTGACATTATGGGTAAAATATCTCCTCCTGCCTATCCTCAATCCTATAATTATATTTCCGTATTTATTGATGATTACTCACGATTGACACTTGCCTACCCAATGAAAACAAAAGACGAGACAGGTCACTGTCTAGAAAGATTCATTAAAAGCGCCAGAAATCTATTAGGTAAAAACGAAAAAATTTGTTATCTAAGATCCGACCAAGGAACGGAATACACAGGAGGGTATACGAGTGTAATCCTGAAACGCGAAGGGATAGAAAGACAGTTAGCATGCCCTGATACTCCACAACATAATGGAACTGCAGAAAGATTTAATCAAACATTACAAAAGAAAATAAGGTCCATTATGTTTGATTCTAAAATCCCAGCAAATATGTGGGACTTAGCACTGGGAGCGGCTGTATACGTGTACAATCGTACTCCCCATAAAGCAAACAATTTTAAATCTCCTCTGGAATTATTCGCGCCTGACTACAAATTCGACATAAACCAAATAAAACGTTTTGGTTGCCTGGCATACTGGTCAATACCAAGAAAACCAGAGTCCAAGTTTTCAGCACGAGCAGTACAAGGAATCTTAGTCGATTACACTCCTTCCGGATATATATTTCTAAATCCAGAATCAGGAAAATTCTTTGAGTCCAGAAACGTTAGATTTAACGAAAAACTCGTGTATGGGGATAGATACCAGAAAGAGTCAATTAAAAATTGGCCAACGACTGAAACAATATTAACAATAAACGAAAAGAACGAGGACAAAACAGAGACAGAAAACAAAGACAGTTCGGTCACAGAAACGGAGGGAGAACCGATAAAAAAAGAGGTAGACCTAAAAAACGACCATTAGAAATGGAGGAAGAAGAAAGCAACTCAATAAGAAAAGAGCAAAAAACGACGGAAACATTAATTCGAGAACCCTATGAGACTCGAAGCTGAAAAGTAGCAGACACGAGTTTTGCAAAATTTACAGAAAGCAAACAGCAAATAAAGGAATACGAATTTCCGAACATAGAAGAAGAATTTCTGCAAACAAAAAATAAAATTAATGACGAAGTATTATACTGTCTTCATGCAGAAATCAACAATGACCCTCTAACGTTCAAAGAAGTCATGGAATCAGAAAATAAAAACGAATGGATAAAAGCCATAGAAGAAGAATTAAATTCCATGGATAAAAATCAAGTGTGGTCATTAGTAGATCGTCCGAAAAGCGGGAAAAATAATAGAAGGCCGAATATCATTGACTCAAGATGGATTTTCAAACGAAAAAACGACAGTTCCGGAGTAACAAAATTTAAAGCAAGATTGGTAATTCGAGGATTCAAAGACAGTAACTCCTATGATTTAAAAGAAACGTATGCACCAGTTTCGAGACTAACACTAGTCAGAACAGTACTGGCGATGATAAACTATTATGATCTGGAAGCCAGTCAACTAGACGTAAAAACTGATTTTCTAAATGGAACGATTGAAGACGAAGTGTATATGGAAATTCCAGATGGAATGGAAATTTTGGATGAATTACGACAGTCTAAAGTATGTAAAATCCAAAAATCTATGTATGGATTGAGAATCAGTCCTAAACGATGGAACAAAAAATTCACGGAAGTTGCGAATTCTCTAGGTTTAAAAAGTAGCGATTACGATCCCTGTCTTTTCACTTGGAGTTCAGAAAATTCGTTAGTAATTCTGTTAAAATATGTAGATGACATGTTACTGGCCAGCAACGACAGCAAAAGATTATTAAAAATTAAAACAAAAATGATGAAATCGTTTGAAATAACTGACCTTGGTGAACCAAAGAACTATTTAGGAATGCAAATCGAACGTAATAGAGAAACGAGAGTTATGTCGATAACGCAAGAAAAATATGTTGAAAAAATCGTGGAAAAATTTGGCTTCGAAAAGGAATTTCCTAAAAATACTCCAATGATAACACGACAAGTCTCTAATTACGAACGTAGACAACGTGAAGACGAAAACGACAGTTTAGACGACAGTGATTTAAATATTCCTTACAGAGAAGCAATTGGCAGCTTATTATATTTATCAGGAGCCACACGTCCAGACATTGCCTACACAGTAAACGTCCTGAGTAGACATCAAATAAACCCTACCGAAAACGAATGGAACATGGTAAAAAGGGTATTTAGTTACATCAAAGGAACGAAGTCAATGGGTCTGAGATATCAAGGGCGACGAAACGACTTATTGGCCTACTCAGATGCGAGTTTTGCGGACTGCAAATCATCCATTTCCACATGTGGCTTCGTGATACGACTGTTTGGAGACACGATTTCGTGGAGAGCAAACAAACAAACGTACGTTGCGTTGTCTACATGTCAGGCAGAATATGTAGCAATGAGCCAAGCGTGTCAAGAGATAATTGCCATCAATAAGTCTGTAATGCAAATAACGGGAAAAAGTCTTCTACCAGCTACACGAAACTAAACGAAACTACACGAAACTAAACGAGTGGCGGAAACAAGCTACGGCACATGGTAGGAATACATGAAGACTACGTGAAAGAGTGTACTAAATTAGATCGAGTTAAAATTGAATGGGTTTCCACGAAAAATCAATGGGCTGACATAATGACAAAACCCCTTTCTTATGAAAATCACAATAATTTACGAAATAAGATACTAAATTACGATTTTTGAATGACTGTTTGTTTCTGAGTATTGTTTTAAATCAAATTCGACTGTAATAATTTATTTTATCTACTCTTTTTAGTTTTCAGAAACCAATCGAACCGAGACAAATAACCAAAAGGAGATGCAAAACGAGGACAAATCAAACAAATTAAAAAGAAAATAGAAGTTTATTTTAAAATTCAAAATTAGATTTATGTCCTAGGTTAAATTAATTTGTCAGTATTATTATTATTATTATTATTTTATAAGGAGTCAACCTCGGGAGGGAGTGTTAAGTATTTGAATTTAGCGCTCCTTTACACTCATTTGACTCCAACATTACCACTACTTGTGTATTACGCTTGCGCGAGAGCGGAACGCCGAGACTCGCTCTCTCTTCCGTAGACGCTTCCTTTGTGAACATCGTGTCTTAATAAAGTCTAATTAAAAACTATTAATATTGCTTTTTGGTCAACCCAGCCTAAACCAAATAAAACATCAAAAATTTATATAACAACTTATAAATTATAAATGCTTTATATAATTTTATTTTTAACAAATCTTCTGGACGAACCCTTTTGTACATAGTTTTTCAAAAGTTTGCAAAACCGCAATTTTTATACATTGAGGAAGCTAAATGGTCATGAAATGAACAACTTGTTTTAGTAGTAGCACCCTCGACCGAATGCCATCAGACAATCAAAATTTTGAGAAAAATTCAATAAAAATTCATTTTTTCAAAATTAAAGAATTCTAATTATCTGAAAATCACCTAATTTCTAGTTAAGACTGAGACCTACACAGTCCTAAAGAATAAAGAATTTTATTTACATTTTTAAGAAGTAGCAGGTCCACCAGAACGCCATCAGACAATCAAAATTTTGGGAAAAATTCATTAAAAATTTATTTCTTCTGAATTAAAGAATTCTTATCATCTAAAAATCACCTAAGTTTTAGTAAGGACTGAGCATTACACAGTTCTAAAGAATAGAGAATTTTCTATCAATTTTTTAGTAGTAGCACCCTCGCCCGAATCAAAATTTAAAAACAATCAAAATTTTGAGAAAAATTCAATAAAAATTTATTTTTTCAAAATTAAAGAATTCTAATTATCTGAAAATCACCTGATTTCTAGTAAAGACTGAGACCTACACAGTCCTAAAGAATAAAGAATTTTATTTACATTTTTAAGAAGTAACAGGTCCACCAGAACGCCATCAGACAATCAAAATATTTATTTCTTCTGAATTAAAGAATTCTTATCATCTAAAAATCACCTGAGTTTTAGTAGGCACTGAGCCCTACAGAGTCCTGAAGAATGGAGAATTTTCTATCAATTTTTTTGTAGTAGCACCGTCGCCCAAACGCCATCAGACAATAAAAATTTTGGGGAAAATGCAATAAAAATTTATTTTTTCAAAATTTAAGAATTCTAATCATCTGAAAATCACCTCAGTTCTAGTAGGGACTGAACCCTACACAGTTAAGAAGAATAGAGAATTTTTTTTAACATTGTTAAGTAGTAGCAGGTTCACCCGATCGCCATCAGACAATCAAATTTATGTGAAAAAATAATTAGAAATTTATTTCTTCTAAAATAAAGAATTCTTATCATCTAAAAATCACCTAAGTTTTAGTAGGGACTGAGTATTACACAGTTCTAAAGAATAAAGTATTTTCTATCAATTTTTTTGTAATAGCACCGTCGCCCAAACGCCATCAGACAATCAAAATTTTGGGACAAAATCATTGAAAATTCATTTCTTTAAAATTAAAGAAGTCTAATAAATTATCTGAAAATCTCATGAGTTCTGGCAAGGACTCAGACCTACACAGTCCTGAAGAATAGAGAATTTTATTCAGATTTTTATGTAGTATCAGGTTCACCCGAACGCCATCAGACAATTAAAATTTTCTGAAAAAGTCCTTAAAAATTTATTTTTAAAAAATTTAAAAATTCAATTTTCATTATAAGTATAAGAAAAATATTTTAAATGCAGTTTTTTTAGCGTCAAGTGTAAATATGTAGCTTTTTCATCTCGTTCTACTCTAATATTATATTGGAATCATTGTAATAATTTTAATTTTTTTTAAAATTTGACTTTTAAATGTTATAATATTGTAATTATTATTGTTATTATTATAAAAGTTTCTAACATTATTCTAAAGATAAACACATATTTATTAAAAACATTTTATCTTAAAAAGATTAAATTTTGTTATAAATTCTGTATACCTTAATTGCACCAATTTTTTAGCAATCTTGAAACAAGCTTATATAATATATATATATATAAAATCTTAAAATTTTGGAGGATTTTTATTAATTTAAGAAAATAGAAAACAAAAAAAGAATGTAGTAAAAAAAAGGACTATAATAATAATGGTATTTAGTTATATTCAGTGATAGTTTCAATCAGTTGTACAAATTAACAAATAATGATGGTGGTTATTCTTCTCACTTATAACCCTTCGACATTTCGATTAATAGTCCAACAATTCACATATTCTTCTTGCATGATAATATAAATTTATGCTAATAATTATTATTTTCAGAATTTCTAAGCATTTGTATATATAATCCATTGGGTTGTTGAAATAATTTCAAATAATCTTATTAAAAGAAAAAATAATTTTTAAAGTTCAAACATATTTTTTCATTAAATTTTTTTGATAAATCTACACCATATCATGTTTTATATATTTTCTAGATATATAAACTGTTTTTGTTAAATACCAACACTGTGAGTGATAATCGACTAAAAGCGTTTTTTCAATAAATGCAAAGTACTTTTTTTCCAAGTTAATTAATTGGAAAAGGTAAATGTAATGCATTTTCTTTTAGTGTTTTCCTTATATTTTGTGATGCAATATTGCATTATTGTTCCAATCTACGCAAGAAGGCTAGAGACAGGAGGTGAAACTTCGGTAGTGAGGATTAGTCAAGAACCTTTCTTTAACCAGGCGTTTTTCGTTTCGAAAAGTCGCCGGCGCGGTGCTTCTGCACATCACTCACACATTCAAATTCTTGTATACCATATGTTTTACATATGAGGCATTATTTCTCAAACGTCCCAGCCCAAAAAAAGTCTTGGGATTGGCTTCATATTTTGGGAAATTGTTATCCTATATGAAAGTAATAAATTTGCAAAATATTAGTTCTTTTAAAAAAAAAATCTAGAAAGTAGTGTTGGTTGAAGTTTTGACATTTTCAGTAACACTGTGATTTTCAAAACCATATAACTTTTATAATACTTTACCGATTTTAATGTTTCTATAATGCATTCAAAGCATTTTTCATGTACTTTCTAAAAATTTTACAAAAAAATTTTTAAAAAAATTCTAACCCTCTTTTTTTAAAAAATAAAGTTTATTTTTTAATTTTGACCCAAATGGGTATTTTTAAAAAAAAATTTTTTATTTTTTTTTGAAAGCTGACATTTTTTCAAAAAAAAACATATATGTTTCATAGTGGGATGGCCATAAGTTTAGAAGATATTTAAAAACAAACTAAGCGGCGCGCCCGCGTCGCTGTACGTTACGCTGTCGCTGCGCCGTTGAACGACACAAATATTACTGTTTCCTCTTCATCTGCTTCAGTAAAAGCTCTCTGCATTCTACAGGGTTGACACTGTCATAAAAATAATGCCTGCATTACTGTTACTAAAAAAAATTTTAAATAATTAATTTTGAAAACAGAAGGGTAAAGCTTAAAAAAATTTTTGACTGAACAATTTTGAATAAATAATAAAATTATAATTATAAATTTAATTGACGAGATAATAAATCATTTTTTTTTATTTTTTACTCGGCTTTTTTAGAAACTCCTGGAGTAATTCTTTTTACTTTTTTTAGGAAAATTATCAAATTTAAAAATTCCATAGTCTACAATATTCTCCAAATAATCGAATTTTGACTGCAAAAGTTCTTTTTGACTAGACGCAAAAATATTGTAAAGAAACCCAAACATTTTACAGTGGCAAAGACATCTACTTTGAGACAGCAAAAAATATTAAAGAACAAATTTGATAATGCTCAAACTATACAAGGAATTTGATAATTTTCCTAAAAAAGTAAAAAAAATTACACCACGAGTTTCTCAACAACAAAAACCGAGTAAAAAATGAAAAAAATTATGTACTATCTCGTCAATTAAATTAAAAAAAACTCTTTTAACTTTACACCCAAGTTAACAATAATACGAACGCAGGCTTTTCAAAATTACGTATACATATAAATCTTTATTTCGATTGAATCAGAAAAGTATTTGATTTTCAAGCATTAAGCTTTCTTTTTCAAAATTAATTTATTTATTAAAAATAATTTTCTTTATAATTATAATTTTATTATTTATTCAAAATTGTTCAGTCAAAAATTTTTTTAAGCTTTACCCTTCTGTTTTCAAAATTAATTATTTAAAATTTTTTTTAGTAACAGTAATGCAGGCATTATTTTTATGACAGTGTCAACCCTGTAGAATGCAGAGAGCTTTTACTGAAGCAGATGAAGAGGAAACAGTAATATTTGTGTCGTTCAACGGCGCAGCGACAGCGTAACGTACAGCGACGCGGGCGCGCCGCTTAGTTTGTTTTTAAATATCTTCTAAACTTATGGCCATCCCACTATGAAACATATATGTTTTTTTTTGAAAAAATGTCAGCTTTCAAATAAAAATAAAAAAAATTTTTTTAAAAATACCCATTTGGGTCAAAATTAAAAAATAAACTTTATTTTTTAAAAAAAGAGGGTTAGAATTTTTTTAAAAATTTTTTTGTAAAATTTTTAGAAAGTACATGAAAAATGCTTTGAATGCATTATAGAAACATTAAAATCGGTAAAGTATTATAAAAGTTATATGGTTTTGAAAATCACAGTGTTACTGAAAATGTCAAAACTTCAACCCCCACTACTTTCTAGAATTTTTTTTAAAAGAACTAATATTTTGCAAATTTATTACTTTCATATAGGATAACAATTTCCCAAAATATGAAGCTGTTATAGTCAGCAAAAATATATATCCCCACCTGAATTGTTTCATATTCAACATGAGCTGCAAAACGTATTTGCAACTCAGTCTTATTCCTGCCTTTAAAGTGTAATATTGAGTATTATAATAAATTGTCACTCTCAGAAGTGATAAAAAGTAAACTGTGTCTATTTTATAAATTAGACCGTAACAAAGCCAATCACAAGACTTTTTTTTTGGGCTGGGACGTTTGAGAAATAATGCCTCATATGTGTATGATATGATTTTAATTTGAGGTTAACTTTAAAGTGCAATCAGTGCAATCGAGACACAATTGACAATGTGTGTCATAACGGATATATATAGAAATAATGTGAGTGATTATTAAATTAAGTGTTATTCAAATAGTTAAAAATTCCGAAAACGTGCTGTGTGAAAAGTTGTAACAAGAAGAAAGATAAACACAACACTATGACTATTACTTTTTGTTAACTTTTAATACACTTCATGCTACAGTTTACACAT